GCGCGCCTTTCTTCATTTGATATTTTTGGGGGCTGAATGCTACGTCGTGTGTAGACCTCGCGATGCTTGAACAGCATCGGGTAATTTTTTTGATCCGTCGCCATGAGGAATGACAAGACGTTGCGGAATCACAATTGCATAGGATTACCTTATTTTGGCTTCCGATGCTGAGGCACTGGTGCTCCGCTACCCGACTGTGTGCATTGCTTGTTTTTCCCCGTGCTTCACTACGCAACAAACGTCCCGCTATACAACCAGACAAAGTGACTATCGTCAAGCTTTTTAATTCAAGCCATACACCCGATTATAATAAGGCTCATCGGAGCAAATACATGAAGCTTTGGTTCGCCATAATGATACTCGGCATCATTCTGGATTATCCTCTAGTCTGGAAAATGTTCATACACAGACGAAACCGTTTTGATTTATCTTAACTATAAACTCCAAGCGGAGTGAGATAGGAGGAGGATTAGCGACCGTCGTTAAATCACTGCAAAACAGCCTGAAGTGGCTTGGTAGAAAGGACCTCCAACTTGCACGCGGCATTTAGAAGCACTCAATGCAGCAGCTATTGCTGACCCCGGAAGAACTTCGGTGAGGTGTTTTAGTTGAATTTCCAGATGGCAAATAAGGCATTCGGCCAGACCATCCGCAGGCTCCTAGGTGAAGTGAAAGGTAGTCCAAACGTCTTGAAGAACAGGATTGACCGCACCCTTACCGACGATGAGAACACTCTTCGGCGATGGAGGACGTGCTATGAGAAACTCTTTAGCCGGAGTAATCAAGGCAAGACACACCTGTAGAACAGCAGAAAACGATAATGCTCTTTCTGTAGATGAAATCACACAAGTTGTCAAAACGATGAAAAATCGAAATGCTGCTAGAATTGATACTATCGCCCGTAACTGCTCAAAACGTTAGGCGAAAAAGGCACATGCTGGCTTACACATGTTTGTCACGCTGCAGCGGCTACGGGGAAGACAGCAGCAGACCGGAGAACGGGAGATGTTTTACTCCTATTCAAAAAGGGAGTCTACAGGGAGTGCATTACTTTAATGTGCCTCCCCATGAAATTCTATGCAAAGGTGTTAGAAAGGAGGTGCCGTGAAATATTTGACACCAAGATGCAAGAAGAGCAGCGTGGCTTCCGGCCTGATCGAAGTACCTGTGAGCGTATATTTGCCCTGCGCCAGATTGCTGAGAAATGGTGGAGTACGCCCATCCGGTGTGTATGTGTTTTGTTGACCTAGAAACAGCCTATCACTGGATCTCGCGCAACTGTTTGCGGTCATGCCTGCAAACCTGCGAGATCAATGGATACTGTTACGGGCCATCCAATCACTATATGCTGAAAGCAGGTGCTGCGTCAGAGTAAGTGGCGTCAATTCGAAGCCTTTTATGGTTGGCACTAGTCCGCGCCAGGACTGCATTCTTACACCTTTCTTGCCTGTGTTGTACATGGATAGAATACCAAGGAGTAGCCAAGGCGAAGAGTGTATCGGTGTAGGAGATATGTGCGGACTAGAAGGTTGCTGTTTGCATGCGACCTTATTTTATTGATATCTTTTTAAACTGAACTACATTGGTCCCTAGAAAGGTTTCCAGACAAGTGCGACATGGTCGGCACGCGTGTGAACGCATCTAAAACAAAAAGCGTACTGCTTCTTCGTTTTCCTGCCCGTCACTTTTTTCAGATTAACGGAGAGGCAGTGGAGCACGTGGAGAAGTTTAAGTACCTTGGATTTGTGTACTTGATGATGGAAAATTTGAGTAGGAGATTGAACGGCCGATTGGAGTAGCCAGTAACGTGCTGCGTGAACTAGTCCGATCCAATGTGACTAAAGCAGTGCTCAGTCTGAAAACTAAGCTGTCTGTGCTGAAGTCGATCTTCATCCCAATGCTTACCTACGGTCATGAGTGGTGAACCATGACTGAAAAATTTCGATCCCTGATAAAGCTGTTGAAGTGAGCTTTCTGAGAAGAATCACTGGCCTTGCGCGTCTGGATATGGTCCGGAATACAAACTTCCGCTGCGATGGTTTGGGAAATAGTAAGGAGAAGCAACTACTATTTGCCCAGGCGATCAGAAGAAAGAACAAGGTGGAAACAACCTTAACCTGGTGCAAATATATGGAAGGTGTCTGTTCCAGGCTCCAGTTGTCGTCTACCGTCGCTCAGACTCTGGCACAGGATCGGGAGCACTGTCTAACGTGTCTGCCTCCGCGACCAAAAAGGAGAAGCGATCAGGAAGATAAAGATGAAGACCACGTACAGCTGACCAGAGATACGTCGAAGTAGTGTCCTGCAGTCCCTGAATTCTTACAAAAAATTCGCCTGTCAGCGAAACAGCATAATCAATAATTGCAAATGATGGACGATGCGTTATGTTGGACCAATCGTTTGTTTGTTAGACTGATCTACAGAGCTTTTTCAAAGTAAATAACTAATGCGGTGTAGAAATGCTAACGTTTGATGCGGATCACGTAACTCTTTAAGTATCTCAGAACGGATTTCATTGATCCCAACAGCTTGACACTTTTCAGACTTTTTACTGCTGAAAGCCCAATATCCATTGTCTGCTTCATTGTAGTGAGTCCTTCTGCTGTTGCTCTGGGTTATGGAAATCGTCAAAGTGCTCTCACTTGCCAGAGTATGTCTTAACCCTTGGTAAGAGGTCGGCCAACTCTTAGGCTACCCTTCGTTTCATCTCAGAGGAAGTGGGTGGTCTATCAGGATACCTTATTTACCATCTGGAAATTCGACTAAAGCACATCACGTAACTTCGCTTAGAAATCAGCTTTGTGCGATTCTTTGTCCTGCATTCAAGCTGAAGGTTATTTGCTTCAAACGATCTTTTCAATACAGCGTTCTTGTCGCTGAAAGCTAATTGAGCCTCAATCAGCAGATATTTCATTTCTGACATCCATGCGGTAGTCCAAGCCGCAGTATTCGGCGGCAGCCTCCAGTATTTCGCTCTTAAACAGCTGCCACTCGGTTTCAACATCAGTTGTCATCGCTGGGATCTGTTCAAACCGTCGTGCGATGTTGTTTGCCAATTTTGCTCTCGTTTCCACCGAAGGTAATGTTTCCCATGTGATTCTTCGGTTGCTACTGCCAACAGATCTTCGTATGGCACTCTATTTCTTGCAGCGCGGCATGCCAACAACAAGGTGATGATCGGTTGACAGTTCTGTGCCTTTCTTAACTTGAACATCCATTACTGAGAGTCTTGAGTCAGACGATATGATTATCAAATCGATCATTGACTTCCATGCACAAGCTTTCCGTTACCAGATGTACTGATGCACTTGTTTAGGTCATTGTACAGTATTTCAGTGTAAATCAAATAAAAACAAGGGCAAAAGCGTATGAACGTCCTTCGTGACTTCCATATTCACAGCCTTAAAAATGAAGTATATTAACCTTGTTCATCATAGGTTTGGAAGGCGGTGGCTCACGTAACTAATAGGTTACTTTGCACTTTGGCAGTGGCTGGTTCAGACTCCAAACGAGGGGTAAAATCTTCTCTTATTAACCGTCAATTCAGAACAGCAAAAAATTCACATCACGGTACTTAGTGCAAGCAGATGAATGACGGGCTGGCCTTTTCAAGTTATTGGTTGAAAACAGTAACAAAAGTATGATACGCGGGCGAGTTCACACCAGAGCCTTGGAGACACATAGTCGTTTCGTAACGCGTGCGCCTCAAGGCTGCAGTTCGGCTTGACGCATCTGATGGTTGACTGGAAGTCCCCATTATGTGTAAACCATTGAAAAGATAAATTTACAGATTTGATCAATCTTCGTAGCAGACAGACGCTAGTTTTGTCTTGTTGCTGCCTTCTACGCAATTTTACAATGTAAACACTGCCTACAGCTCATATGGAGTTCAAATAAGCGAGATCGATTGCAAGATAAGTTTATTAAAAAAAACTCGTAATAATTAATTCTGTCACTCAGAAATTACTCGGTTAGTATACTGTACATGCTGTAGTTTCCGCATGAATTTTTATCGATTTTCTTATATGTACTTGAACAGAGTCACGCAAGGCGTTCAGCACCCGTTGATGGGAGAACCAGATGTTCTTCATCGACGAATTCTGGACGTCTGCACATCAATGCAAACAGGTCCAGTTAAGCGCTATCTTCAGCCTTGTAAAGGAGCCTGTCTTCTTTGAGCTGATACGGCAATCGTTTGTGTTTAAGCTGGTTTAAAGTTGACAGAAATTTATCTGTGACACGACGGTAACGTGATTAGTGTTTGAGTTTCTTACTCACCGTCTCGCAAGTTACGGTGATAAGCGAGAGCGACCATGAAATGATCTGCGGATCATCGA